GTGTGTGAATCATGAATAGGCTCACTAGTCCAGAATCAGACTCAGGCCTCAGCAGGGATAGCACTGGGACTTAAGGGCCCTGAGTTTTTAAGGGTGAATAGAACTTTCTAGGCAAAGCAGTTGGCGGTGGCGTTTTAGGCAGGGAAACACCAAATGAAGATGGAGGCGGCCATGGAGTCCCAAGTTGGCAATGAGATGGGTGTAGCTTGAAAACATGTGTTGAATGTATTGAATGTTTGGACTTTGAAGACACAGGGAACAAATGGGGATGAGGCCGTGGCAGGGGTGAGAGAATCAGGGACCCCAGTCCTTACACAGAGCACTGACAAGCTTTGACTTTCTCTTACAGACAATGGGGAACCATTGGGCTATTTTGGGAAAGGAAGGAACAGTCTGACTCCCCAATCAGAAAAATCATGTTGGCCACAGGAAATGAGATTGGAAGGGAATGATACAAGTTTGGAAGTGAAAATCTGAATAAGCCACAGAGAGGCTTAGGAAGATAGCATGTTCCCTTTAAATCTATCCCATTTAGAGGCCTCCCTGGTGCCTAGGGGTTAGGCCTCAGCTCTGTCACACATCAGCTACTTCCACTGTGGCCTGAGTTCAGTCCCTGGCCACTGCTCCCCTCAGCAGTATATTTCAGTAGATCGGCCTGTTCTGCTCCCCACTCTGTCTCTGGAAAATACACTCACCCCCTGCACCTCTGTCCTGTACCCCAGTTCTTCTACACAAAAATAAATAAATAGAAGAAAAAAAATCTTTCCATTTAGAGACCCGAGAGAAAGAGTAAGTTGCAAGTCCAGGAGGAAGTTGGGAATGTGAGTCTGATGTCCAGGAATGTGAGTGAGTCTGATGGATTTGGAGCATTTGTAGGTGAGCATGGTGAAGCCAAACGAGAGAATGACAGTGGCTTTCTGCTGTGGGAAAGCCCCTGGGGTGAAGAATAAAGGGCCAAAGGCTCATTTCTGGAATACCAGTAGTTGAAACCAGGAAGATGGAAGACCATGAAGGATGGCTAGTTGTGGGGGGCGGAGGGCTGAAGGGACTAGGGGAGGACAGAAATGAGGGATCCACTCTTTTAAGAATCTTGGCTGAAGGGAGAGAAAAGGAAACACAGGGCTGGAGCAAAGGCAGGTGTGAAGGAAGGTATTTTATAGTAAGTCTGCTTAGGCAAAGGTGAGAGAAGAGGTGGAGTTATCCAGGCAAGAATGAACAGAGTGGATGGAATGGTCCTGAGCAAGGAGGGAAGGGCGCTCATCCAGTGACTTTTGTGTTAGAATCACTGATTCTAAAAAGGCCAATACCTGGACCACACCTAGGAAGTTTCTGCTTTAATTAGTCTGGGGTGGGTCTGGGACATTGCTATGTTTTCAAAGCTTCCCAGGTGATTAAAATCTGCAGTCAAGGTTGAGAATCATGGGTTTAATTGTAGGTAGCTTTTTAGATAGGTGATAATGGGATGGGACCTGAGGAAGTGCACTCTTGATAAAAGTTAGACAGGGAGTGGTAAAGGCTGGGATAGGGGAGAAATGGGGGTACAGACAAGGAAGTCAGAGATGGGGGGAGGAATACGAACTTGGTAACTGTTATGTATCTTTTTAAAAAGATTTATTTATTTATGCATACAAGAACTGGGGTACAGGCCAGAGGTACACGGGTGAGAGGATTCACTAGAGGCAGAGTGGGGAGCAGAACAGGCTGACTAACGAAGTACACTGCTGAGGGGAGCAGTGGGTGGGTCAGGAGAGGTCTCCTGCACCATGTGGGTCACCCCCCTGGCTGGGGATCAAACTCATGCTGCAGTGGCACTGATAGCTTCAACTCTGAAGCTTTAACCCCCTGTGCCACTAGGGAGGCCCCCTGTCATGTATCGTTACTGTAGAAAAGAGTGAGGGTCGGTCCTTGATCTCAAAGAGGTTGGGAGCAAGAGACACCTTGCATGATCCTATGATATGGCAAAGTTCTTAACTAGTTAGGTCTTATTTTTCTATTTTATTCCCCTTTTCACTAAAAGTGAAAAAAATATCCAGTTGTCTCACAGTATAGATAGTGATACGATTACTTTGTAAACCTTGAGAATAGCTCTTAACAGGAAAGTGCGGGTGGGGAGTTCTTCTGGTATATGCAACTAGCCTGGTTTTACAGCAGACCGCATGAAGATGGCACTTCAGGCCCAGGATGTAGATCCTGGGGTCACCTGGGGAGGTGGCTGAAATTGCTAGTCACTCACATGGGAAAACATGGAAGGCCATCCTTGGGAACAGTCATCTGTGAGGGAACTGGGTGCTTCCCTGCCTGTGGGGCCTCCCTTTGGCGAATTCACTGCTACGTCTTGAACTCTGCATCCTGCCCAGAGAGTCAACCTTCCAGGGGTCCTGAGAGGTCTCTGGTCTGTCTGTTCCTGAGTTGAAGGGGCTTTTATGGAGGGCCTCGCTTTTGGCTAGGAGTCCCAATCCTTTTCTTTCTGAAAGCATCAGGAATCCCCAAGACACAGGACAGAGAAGGGGCATCTGATTGGGAATTGGCAGGAGCCACTATGGGCATATGGTGGTGTTCCTTCTGTGCTTTATAAGCCTAATTTATAGAACATGAATTGATGCTTAAAGAAACTAAGAACATGCCCATGTCTCAAAGCTAGGTACATTGTAATAGAAGATCAGTCTGTCCCATGCTGCTGTTCACCAGGCTCCTGTATTCTTTCAGTCTCGTAGCTTGGCTCCCTTGAGAAAATCCAACATGGAGCTCACCCCAGTGTCTTCTACCTCTGAAAGAGTCAGGTCAGGCCCTTGGGTATTTTGGTCTCCATTTCCTCACTCTGGGTGAAGGGCATGTGAGGTCCAGGTAGGCTTCAATTCTAGGGGAGAGGGTGGCGGGCAACCCAGAGAATTACGACATGGGTCATTTACTCTTGGACCTCCCCTCTGTAATCCAGAGTCTTGCTTAGATCTATACCATTGGAAGTCTCCAATCTAATTCTCAGAGATGAAAAAAGAGGGGCCAAACTTATTCCAGCAAATACCTGATATCTACTAAACTTGACGCTTCATTTGTGACTGGCCTGACAGATTTTGAGCTTCATGTGGGGTCAGTCTACAGAAATATTTGTATTTCTGGCATCAGAGGTTGTGTTGCCTGTTCTTTGGGCCCTTCTGAGGTCCGTGCCACAGGAGAGTATCTTGTGGACAGTTCACTCTAGGCCTGCTAGGAGACAAGCTTGGGTCACAACACATTAAACACTGCATCCAATCACACACTTACTACTGCCCAGCATTGGGGTGAGTCCCCTCAACCCACTCTTCCTCCCCAGTTCTCCTACCAGTTGTCCTTCATATCCTGGTTGTAGTGACTGCCAGGACCCCAGTGTGGCCCCATGTTTGGCAAGCAAGGTTTGTCACAAACATGAGGGGCTTGGGTACCTGGAGTGACCCGATTCTGCCAACCCAGGGCTGACTCACCCCTGATACATACCAGGGAAGGAGGATGCGGAGAGGCAGAGATCAGGGTGAAGAAGGGGGAAATGTTTCTAAGTTTCTTCAACTAGTAGCCATCACACTGCCAATGAAGATGATTCTGTTGTCCTCTTTGTACAGGTTAGAACTGACAACCCAAGGGAATGAAATCAGCGTTTAGGGAAAAAAGCCCTCACCAGGGAGGTGCAAACATCCCCAAACAAGTGAGGAGCAGAGGCAGGGCTTCTCCTTCCCTGGGACTTCCTAAGGGCAGTGTTGGGTGAGAGGAGCCAGGGCTGGAAGCTGGAGCCTGTGGAAGACCTGGCCCTGCCTGGAGAGTGTGTGCAGGCACCTTTTAAGTATCATTCTTACAGGTAAAAGCCGGGCACACAGCTGTGCACTACAGGGAAACGTGGACTGTGGGAAGACGGGGTCACTCCCTGCCGGTTCGGTCTGTTGTCCTACAATCGCGGTACAGTACACACAAATCCAGGGTATCCTAGTTCCCTTAGGACTGGTGGGGTTAGGGACCCGACAGGTCAGTGAATTTTTCCTATGGGAGGTTTCCCGGGAGAAGAGCCCCTCTCGCAGCCATTCAGCGTCCCACCCCATCCTTCTCTCTTCCCCCCTCCCTAGGGCAGAGCTCCCTTTGTAATTAATCCCAACGCCCAAACCAGGGGGGAGGAAAAGTTGCTAATGAGGAGCGCCCCAGGCTGACGCGGCTGCCGCCGTAGCAGCTCCAGCACCGAGTAATTAAATTATTTGGGAGGGAGGAGGACGTGGGGCGAGGGTGTCAGGGAAATCCCCGTATGCAGGGAAAGAGGGGGGCGTCTCATGCCACTAATTAAAATCAGGGCTGGCGCTCTTCTCGCAGCCCTAGGGGGGAAATCAATCTTCCCCCGTCCCGGATTCCATAGGATTTGGTGTAGCCGGGTCTGTGGCCTCAAAGAACTGATCTCGGCTGTCCCGGGTCTGGGGGGCTCGAACTCCCACAGGGGGTGGAGTAATACAGCTCCCGGAGGGCTGAGGGCGGGACTGGGGTCGCAGCCCGTATATTCCCAGGGCCTGGGAGTAACCGGCCTGGGGGAGGGAGGGCATGAGGGAAGGTTGGGGTGCCGCGGGTACGGCGAAGAGAGGCGGGGGGGGGTGCTGGCGGCGTAGAGACTGGGGGCGGTGTGCATCCGAGGGGAGGCTGGGGTGTAGCGGGCATCGCCCGTAGAGGCTAGGGATCGGGGTGGAGGGTAAGGAAAGATTGGGGCTGGGAGCGGCCGGGAGAGGAGGAGGGTGGAGGTGGTTGGGTCCGGAGGGAAAAGCTCGGGAGGTCGCAGGCATCGAGGCGGGGAGAGCTGGGGGCTGGCCAATCTCTCGGGGGGGCAGACAGGGGGCGTCTGGAGGAAGAGAGGAGCAGACAATGGCCGCGGCGGGGGCGGGGCTGCAGGAACAGCCGGGGGCGGTGCCCGGGAGGTTGCCCCGCCCCGCGCGCCCCTCCTCCGCCCCTCCCCCGCCGGCCCGGGTCTGGTTCCCGGTGCCTGATTCCCGGTCCTCGGTCCCGCCATGGGAGCCTGAGCGCCCCCGCCCGGCCCCCCGCCCCCGGGGCCTCGAGGGGGGAAAGGCAGCGTGTGGGACGGAGAGGGGCGCGGACCCCAACCCCCTGTCCAGGCGCGCTGCAGTCCGGGCGCGAGTTCCGAGCGGCGGGTGGGATACAAAGGCGCGGCCGACCCGCACCCGCAGCGGCGGTGAGTACGGGCTGGGGGCGCGGGCCAAGTTTTCGGAGAAGGAAGCCCACAAGGCGGGAGGTCATGCAAAGCTGGGGACACCGGACCGGGTGCGCTGGGAGGCGGCTGGGGCTGGGGGCTCTGGGCAGCCCCCTTCCGGTGCGTCCCGGGCACAGCGGGGCGCCCTCCCGACTTTGGGGAGGGGGCGGAGCCGGGCCTGGAGAGCCGGGGACTTTCCTGGGCCCCGGGCGGCGGGGGCCTTGCTGATCCCGGGGGAGCCAGGGAGCTGAGGCCCGGGTGTGGGTGGGAGGGCAGGGGGAGGGCCAGAGTCTGGAGGAACAGGAGACCAAGGGTTCAGGGATGCGCCCCTTGAGACGTGGGGAGGGACAGGCAGGTATGCGTTGGGTTGTGATGTGAATCTGGGGAGCAGGCCCCGAGAGCAGGGGGTGTGAGCTGGAGGCCTGGACTGGCTGCAGGGACTGGGGGCCGGGGACAGGCGCTACCCCACCTTCACTCGTGTTTACCTGGGTGGGGGGAGGAGGCGGCTGTGGCCATGCACCGGTGAGTTTGGAAGGGGCGGCAGGGAACCAGTGAGTATGAGTCTTTGTTTTTGTGCGTGTGCACCTTGACTGCAGGTGGACCCTGGGCTTGGTGGTGACGGTGTTTTTCTCAGCCTGAGGGTGTAGGAGCCACTGACCACATATCTGCTGTGTGTTTGCATGTGTGTATGTGTGTCTATGTGTATGGGGTCTTGGGGTGCAGGTAAGAGCAGAATGGGGTCTAAGAAAGGGGTCTAGGGGTGCGGGTAAGAGCAGAATGGGGCCTACTTGCATAGGTGAGTGCACCTATAGACTGGGAAGGGTGTGGGTGAATCTGTGTTCTCTTGAGTATGTAACCAAATTGGTGGGTAGGTGCCAGTGTGTGTGTGCCTGCCCAGGGTGTGTGTATTTCTGAGTATGTGTTGGGGGCGCTACTTCTTGCGTCTTCAGGCAGATTTTCCTGGTGGAAAGTCCAAGAGAGAGCTGTTTGGAGGATTCTGAGGCTCCATGGGTAGTACCTTAAGACCTATGCAGGGTGAGTGGGCCATGTTATGAATTGTCTGCTTGGGAGATGGGGTTTTCTAGAAAAAGGTTTGTGGTGGGGTCTAGGATAAGGGTTCTGTTGGCCATTGAGGGGAGGAATCTGGGGAATTAAAGGAGACTGAACAGAATACGAGGCCCCTACTGCCACTTCAGCATGACATCTGAGGTTGGGTTCTAGTGCTTGGGTAGGCCCAAGTTCAGCCTCACAGCCATAGTTCTCTTGGATCTGTTTCTGAGTCTGTGCCAGGACCCTACAGTTCTGAGGTGTCTTGAGTCTGGGATGGGGGCCAGAGGAAGGACAATGCAAGGGGAAGAAAATCCTGGATAGAGAATGTGGTATGGGGCTGGGGTTGACAGGGGGGCGTTTCCTTGGGAGCTTCTGCAAGGTTGTCTGATTGGGATGGGGGCCTGGGCCAGGCAGAGTGTGAGGACTAGGGAGTACGCTCCAGAGAGGGCAGACAGCCTAGCTAGGGAGGCGTGGGCACCTTTGAAGCTGTATTCATCACCGATAGAGCCACAGGAAGACATCCAGAAGCAATACCCCTCCTTCTCCCCTTGCCTCTCTTGCTCTTTCTTTTCTGGGGTGAACACCTTCAAGTTGCATGCCCCTCTCCAGTCTCTCAGCCATATTCCTCTTGCTGTGAGTTTGGGTCCAGACACTGAGTTTGAGGAGCTGAGGCCATGATCACTCTATGCGCGTTTTGGGGTTCATTAGAACTGAATATGAGAGACCTCCATGGGCCGTGTAGTTGGAATGGTCCCTCTTTAGCCCACAGGGCTCCCCACCTTTCCTAAAGTCCTGGGATAAAGGAAGTGGGATTTAGAAAAAGTGGCCATTAGAAGTAGGGGCAGAATAGGAAAAGACCTTTTTCCTAAAAAAAAAAGGCTCGATTCCTCCAAATTTCACCTGCCTGAAGGGTCAAGCCTGGGTGGGCAGGTACAATGTCTAGGATGCGGCCCTCAGCGTGTTGGCTGTGTGCTCTCGCTGCATGATACTTGCAGGGTGCCCTTCCGGGGCGTGGGATGTGGTCAGACAATTGAGTGTGCGATCTTGGAAAGTGCTTCCAGATTGGAGCCCTTGGCCTCATGGCTCTCCTCCCCCATTGCCCAAGCCCTGCCTTCTGCTTTCTCGAAATCTCTTGGGCCAGGCACTTTGGCGCGACCCTCTGCTTCTGCTCCTTCTCGACCCTCTGCTTCTGCTCCTTCTCGTTTGGGGGAAGGCCTGTTCCTGGACTGAGAGCAGGACAGATTTCTATCTGCTCATCTGGTTTCCAAGAGATCCTTCTGGCTGGTGGGGGTAGGGGGAGTGCACTTGACTGAAGGAAGCTTTGGAGGGGTAACAAGATAAGATCTGGGGCTCCCCCTCTTCGCCTCTGAGTTTTAGGGACTCTAGTCTTATCCTTTGCTCATTGCCGCTTAGACACAGAAGTGGTTGGAATGAACACTTATAGTGGTGTGGTATTGGGCAAGTTCTTCCATCCGGTTCCTCACCTGTCTTCCAGCTGGGGACTGCGCCCTTCCCAAGAAACCCCAGGTGCCCCCACGACGCCTTCCTGGGGTTTCAGCTTGCTCTTAATTCTGGTTCTGCCACTTCCTAGTTCTTTGACCTCAGACAAAATAGATAACTTTTTGAAGCCTCACCTGTAAATTGGAGTTAATGATAGGCCCTGCTCTTGGATTTATGAGGATTAAATGAAGTAATACACAGGGCACTTCACATGGTGCCTGGCACGGGAGGCCCTCGGTAAGTGGTTCTGGTTCTGATTGGTGACTGTGTGAGAGAGGGTTGGGCTGGGAGGAGAGGTGGGCTTTGGTCCCACCCTTCTTCTGACAGACCATTCGGGCACTGCCTCCCGGGCCCTGCCCTGGGGGACACACTGCGATGGAGGGGCGAATCAGCCGACTCCCGGGGACACGTGTATGGACTCGTTGGTCTGTGAGCCTGTGGGTGCTCTGTGGTAGTGTGTTCAGGAGGTCCTGGAGCACGGGGTGGAGTGCTTGACCCTGATAGGTGTCAGGGGTAAAAATGAGTTAAAAAAAATTGAGATTACATTCACGTAACATAAAATCAGTTGTTGGAAAGGGAACTGTGACATAAGTGTGTTCAAGGTGTCGTGCAACCACCATCTCCAGCTACAAGCATTTGTTACCACCCCAGACGGAAGCCTGTAGCCATTAAACAGTTGCTTTTCACTTCCCCGATCTACGGACACCCCTGCTTTTGTTTTCTGTCTCTATGGATTTACCTGGATATTTCATAACAATGGAATTAAACCTTCTGTGTCTGGCTTCCCTCACTCAGCATCATCTTCTCGTCCGTGTTGCAGCATGCATCAGAACTTAATTCCTTTTCTTGGCTAAATCATATTCCAGTGCAGGCTCGGCCTTGGTTGGAGTTAAAGGATGAACAAGGGGACAGGGAGGAACTGAGGAGGGTGCTGTAGAGGCTGCTTGTGAGCCGTGGGGTGGGGGATTTATGAATACTGCTGTATACATAAAGGAAGTCTTGTGAGGGTGGTGGGGCTGGGGCCGGTTATAACTTGCTCTTTTCTCCTTCTTCCTGGGTATGAGCTGCTCTCCTCCTTATAGGGGTTCATTTTTCTCTTTTACGCGGCACCAACTCCCCTCTCCACATTGACCTCGCACCCCATGCAGGTTTGTAAACTTCACGAAGGGATTTTAGCAGCAGCGGTGAAGGGAAGGTGTGGGGGCAAACCCTGCTCCCACTCAGTGCCTTTGACCTTGCCTGCCCACTCCCAGCCTGCCTCCTGGTGATCTGACTTGTGCACCTTTCATGCTGTTTGTTGTGATCTGAGGAGGAATGAGGTGGCCAGGGGAGTCCCCCTTTGCTCTACCCTGACCAGCATAGAATAGGAGGCAGAGGCCTTGTATGGGGGAGCCCTTTGGAAATAAGGTGTTGTGTGTTGGTCTGATGCCCCTGGCAAGACTGGTAATTACAGATGTGACAGCTGGGAACAGACTTGAGAGAAGCAGACCTGGAATCAGCAGAGTGGAGGCTATCCCGGGAATCAGGGTGGGGCCGTGAGAGGGAAGAGTAGGGAGAAGCTGGGGGCTGAGGTGCGGCTTGGGGGCCCTGCCACCCCCAAAACAACTGGCTGGGCTTAGTGCCTCCAGGGAAGGTGGTAGTGATGGGGCCCCACCCTTCCTCACTGTCAGTGTGTGTGTTGGGGGGTGGGGAGGAAGGAGAGAAGCTGGAGACTCTGGGAACCTGAGGACCCAGGCAAGAGTAGGAAGAGGGGTGGGGTTCTCTTTTGGGGCATGGTCTACGTTAAGGAGGGGCTTGGCCACGCGGGGGCTGGAGTCAGCACTGTGCCCAAAGGTGATTTCAGCTTATTCTGGATGGGATCTGCTCATTGGGGGCAAGGGGAACAGGAAGTGGAGGGGACAGGAAGTGGAGGGGAGGGCTGTACACCCTCTACAGGTAAAGGAGTTTGGACGCTACTGTTTTATTGAATGTGTGGCCTACTGTGCTATTGTGTTTACATTATTTTGTCAAAAACTTAGGTATCCCATATAGTCGCTACCTTTCACCTACGAAACCCGAGTTAGGGAAGGGGCCGTCCCACCCAAGCTTCTGAGGCTGTGTGGGGCTGGCGCTTCTGCTTCTGAGTGTCATTGCACGTACCCTCTCTTTCCAGTGAGTTCTGATTTTACTCACTTTTGCTTTTTGAACTTTAGCTTGAATTATTCTCCTGGATCCCCCCAAATAGACTTACACCCAGGTGTCAATCTGAGGGGTAGAGAAGTAAGTCTGGGGGGCCTCTTCTTCCTGCTGGGCCTCTTCATACATGGGGCACTGTAGGCCCTTGTCTTGATGCTTGGCCCTTGTCTTGAATTTTCTCGCCTCCTCCTGACAATATCCCCCACTTTCACCAGACCTGGCCCCCAACCTCCTGCCAGGGAAGAGTACATGTTTGT